AGTTCCGGCTATAGCCACTAACTTATATTTTAAGAATCTTTTTGGATTTTTTGTTTCAGCCGATTCTAACTGGAGATATCGTGTCCGTAACTTTTTTCTGACGTCCACTGCAGCCGCCATTTTGTCGCCGCTCATGCGTGAAAAAATTTTAAAAAAATATTTTTATATACCTACTTGAATATGTGACTAATAATGTGTAAAAAGTTTGATTAGATTCAATACATTTTACTATTGAAAGAAAAATCTTAAAAATATATCAAAAAGACCTAGAAAATGGCCTTAATATCTCGAAAACTATTGCAAAGATCGCAAAATGGTAGAAGACTTTTTTGTTCAGTTTGGTCCACACTACCTGCCCACAAGCGCTGTACCATTGAATATGAGACACCCTGTATATATAAAATATAGTTGTACGTCAAATATACAATAATGAAATATTTCGAACACTTTGGAATAAAATTTAGATAGTGCCAGTCATAAAACATATTATTTCTTGTAACAAATAAATAAACTTGCTAATATTTCTTATAAAAAATTAGATTAAACAAAAATAAAAATGTATTTATAGGACTTTAGACTTACAATTTTTTTTATTTTTTATTTTGAATCATAATGTATAGGCAAGGAATAATTTTACAATATTACTATAATCAAGTAATATAATCTAACAATATAAGAAACAAATATATTTCATATTTTAGTGTACCCAACGTTGAAGGAACCATTTCCAGGATGGATAGATAACGTGTATGGACCAATAGGACTTGCAATTGTAACTGGTAAAGGATTGTTTCATGTAATCTATTGTGATAAGAACGGCAATGAAGATGTGGTTCCGGCAGACATTATCATCAAAGCTATATTAGTTACAACTTGGAAGCTTGGATTGACTACGTATGATAATCAGCATGAGTATGTATGCTAATGTAACTTTATTCCATAATGAACGCGAAAATTTTCTTTTTTTTTTTAGAAATTCATCTACTATATGTTTATAGAATGATCTTCCTTATTTATGGTATGCTTTGTGTACTTTAACTAACATTACAGACGCGCGCTTCGCGCGCGTTATTTAGTTGCATTTTTTACTTTTTACTATAACTTACAATTACACATCAACCTCGAAATGCAAGCAACTGTCAAAATATGCATTGACAGCCGCTCACGAAGTAAGCACAGCGAGACAACCAATCAGCGTCGCGGAAAAGAGCCAACAATATTTCGAGACTTCGATAGATTCGACTATCGATTTAAAATGCTTGTAAAAAAAAATGGATTTGCTATGCACTCTATCAATCTCAATATACACAACTGTCAAAATATGCAATGACAGCTGCTTGCGAATGACAGAATCAATGAGAATCGCGGAAAAGAGGCTTTAAACTTTGATAGATACGAGTATCGATGTTATGTCTTTTTTTTTTAGAAAAGATTATTTAGAAATACATCTACTACATATTTATGGAATGATCTTGCTTATTTATGGTATGCTTTGTGTGTTTTATTTAAATCGAACATACTTCTTATGGACACAAAATATCTAGTTCCGCCAATTATCCTATAGATAGAAGTTTATCGGGTGTATAGAATAAACGTAATACAATTTACAATTTGCTGAGAGGGTAAAAGAAAGATGCGTTTGTGAAATAGAAGGGTTGTCGTGGCAATATACTACCAACTTATGTCATAAAACACACTTTTAGTTATAAAAAAATCACAAATTAATAATTCTTCGTAGACCTTAGTAGACTAATAAATGCGCAAAACAAACACATTTTATAGACATTTTATAAAATATACAGGGTGTCCCAAAAAGGTCGTATGTCCTTTCACTGGCAGATTCTAGAGCATTCTAAGACGAAAACTCTTATACAAAAATGTCGAGGCTATAATACTTTTTAAATTATAACCGATTAAAGTCTGAAATTCGCGCGCTCAGGCATGGTATGTACATTGCGAGCGCGATTGCGGGGTGCCCTTGTCCATTGACTCACATTTAAATATTGACGTAATTGATGCGCTTATCGCAAAAATATCTAATTATCGAAATTG